CAGTAGCCTTTCTGGTAGGGGTACAGACAAGCAGACACATGCCTTTTAAAATCAGTATTAGTTTTTAAAACTTGTAAATATTATAGCAGGCAGAAATTGATTTGAGTTGGAGTGAGCGAAAGGCAGTGTTAACCTTTGTTATGAGATATACGTACTACACAGGATACGGGTCTCCAATCCTTTATTGGGCTGGATCCACTTCTCAATTTCAATTCTGAGTGCAAGTAAATAAATCTTCCTGAACTTGTAGTGTGCAAGTTACGCTGCTAGTTTGGTGATGTCCATTTTGGACTCACTGTCAGTGCCAAACTAGAAATTTACCCTGTATCTTCAGAAGGTAGAAGAAGTTGTCTTGTGACCCACCGATGGGTAACAATATTGGAGAGGGTGGTAACTGGTGCTTTCTCAATTCTCTTTATCCTATTATCACATGCGCATATGAAAGTTGTTATTATAGCATCTTGTTTTCTGGCTTTGAAGCACTATCAAAAGTAAGTTATCATTACACTCACATAAAAAGGATGTGTGGGCTTTCTCAGGACTGTAGGATAATTCAGCTCTCAAGAGATATCACTTTTTCCATCAAAGCATGTCCTTCATTGTGCATGTGTAAAAATATTTGCACAGAGTGGGCATACCCTATTATTTTTTGGCATTAGCTGGAGCTGATTGATAATTGATTAGGGATATGTCCTTTTTCTGCCCCTTGGTTGCAATTCTACTTGTCAGGCCACTTAATTTTACAAACTCTTAAGTGAATTACCAGAAAGGTTTTTTTTTCCTCAGGTACACACTTTACCATCACAGATCTATGAATCCAAATTATGGAGAATACGCTGTTGGCAGTCTTCACAATGAGGCTAAGTGGGCACAGAACATAAACTGCGCTCCCTTTTCTGGAGTTAGCTTTTCCAAAATAGACCTGTGACAGCAGTAGACAATTAATAGTGCATTAAGAGAATATTTACCTGTGGGACTGCAAATTGTTTGGCTTCCTGCCCTGCATCCCCTCTTCTGTGGTCTCTCATCTAAGAATGCCAGCAAAGTTTCTTTTGCAGTAACAACTTTGGAAAGGAGAAATATTTATTTATTAAATTTGTAGAGCTGCCTATGGTAAATAAATTCTAAAAAGAAATGTCTAGCTTTCTAGGCACTTATTTGTATCCCTCCTGGTATTCGGCTTGGTGCCTTCAGTCCTGCCTTGTTTTTCTGGGCAATCTGATACTCTGAAATGTGCTGTACAGCTCAGCAGAGAAAGGAATTAGCTTTGTCTAAGTCATTTAATAGCTTTTAAATCCCAGTGGATTACAAATTTGCAGGGTACTATATGCTGGCTGTATCTTGATCTCCAGGACTTAAACGTGCTTTGAATTGTTTCTTAATAACTATGAATAGAACTGTTAGTTAAAGCCAAAGCAGTGAGAACAAGTGGTATCACAATAAGAATAGGACAAGGGTTAAATAAAATGTGGATTGTGGAAACTGTTAAAATTTGCAAGTTAAGTTTTGCGGTAGCTTTAATACAGTCACTTACGGATTGCATCACTGAAACATAGTAAACACTTCCTCAAGTAGCATTCCTATAGCCATGTTTAGTCCCAGGAAAATAAGGCAGTTTGGAAGGCACCATGCTATGAAGAAGCCACATGCTGAGAGTCTGCTGTAAAGTACTGCAGTGACACTTTCCTTGAGGCCCAAGGCAACTGTCATAAGGGGGTAGCACTATTTCATGACCTGGTGCACTGGTAAAACAGAAAGCTCTAGAAACTGTAGTTTAGATAAAAGATCTAAGTCTCTTATTCTAGATACAGAAGATAATCTAAACTATCTAGATACAGATAGTCTAAATAAAGAATCCATGCACAGTAGAGTGCTTCGGCAGAACTGGTTATCTCATGAATAGAGGCTTTGTAGGTAATTCCATGTTTATCCTTCAGAATGCTACAATGTCAATGACAAACCCCAATACTACTGCAAAGAATCTTAAATAACCTACAGATATAAAAAGGCACCCCATAAAACCAGTGACTGTCATCAAACTATTTATTGAAAACAGCTCCTCAGCAGTAGTAGCATCTTTTCCCTGTTTATATCACAGCAACACTGGTTGCTTAATGTCTTCATAAAATGAACAAGATTGAGAAGAGAGTTTGTCTCTCAGCAAATTCAGTGCCGTTAAAATGTCTGTTTTCAAGAGAAACTATTTAAATTATTTGAAAACTTTGGGATCTTTGGATAAAACTTACGGGTTTTGTCTATCAGTGCGGCATCCAGTAAGTTGAATCGGCTGTTGTAGAGGCGAAGTGGACGACCACAGTGAGATTAGAGGTGGACAAAATTCCAATTTGCTTTCATGCATTTATATTTATATATGCATATATGAGCCAAGAAGCGCCAGGTTCCATTTCCTGTTAAGAAGAAGTAGCTTTCTTCACAGTAGGAACCAGATTTGCTCGACTGATGGCATCATTGCCATTTTAAACTCTTAATTAAATGAAAGATGGGGAAAACTCATTTACTTGAGTGGTACAAGGTCAGAATGTTCACCATAAATGTCTAAAAGAAGAGATGGAAATGGCTGAGGTTTTTCTTCATACTCCTCTTTGAGTTTAGCATGGTGTGCTTGGCACAATTCTACAAAGTGCAATATCTTGCATCATCATCTGAAGTGTAATTCATGAAAGGCTCATTCATTTACTGGTTCAGCTTTCTAATATTTATTGCCAGATTGCCATGCAAGGTTCATGTGCATTTACCCTTGAGTGCTTTCAGTTGTTTTTGCTGTATTACCATAATATTGTTCCTTCCAAGGATGCTTGTTACAATTTCTAGTATTTGCAAATGACTTAATGTGGTGCTAAGCCTTTTTAGATACATATCACTAGAACAAGATACTGCCTGAGGTACACAAATTAGTCTTATACACTAGATCCTAACCCTATACTGATCCAAACCAAATACCATCCTAAGACTCCATCATGTTGAGCCCTGAGGGTAGAGGTGCCTAATATCTCTGTTGTGATGCTTGATACACTCTGGTTTCAGGTCCCCTATGAGCTCAGTAAAGCTAGTTCCCTTAAAATGAGGAAAGTTTTACCTTCCTGAATGACTGCTTTTCAAGCTAATGTCCCTTTTTTAAAATAGATGTATTTGTAGAGATGCTTCAGCTGCAGCCGTACTTATCTCCATCTGCACACAGAATGACTTTCTTATGCCTCTACCTGCAACTTCACCCTCTGCAGGTCAACAGGACCCATGCCCAGAAGCACTTCCAATACCATCTTCTCTCTCCTCTTTTCTCTGGGTATCTAGAATTAGGGATTTCACTGCACAACTCCCCCATATCTATAGCACTTCTTGCTTCTTCCTTTCAATTGGAAAGGAGAAGTCCATAAAACTAAAGTTTAGCAAGCTGCTCCTTGTCACTGTAGGAGCTCTGAGAAAAGAGCCTAGCAAGCTGCACATAAATTCTTTACATAAGTTGAGTCAAACCCAACAATCAAAACGTTATTCTTTATCAGAAAGTTGCATTTTTAAGAACAGACCATTTTTGAAAATTCAGTCCATATCTAATTAAGGTCTAGAATTTACAAGATTCAGTTCCAGGGAAAGTTTTTGCCTTCATCTACTGGCCTTTCTTATTCTGTTTCTGAGAGATCCAAAATTAAATAGTCTAAAAAAACAAGCAAGAAAAAAAGAAGGCCAAAGGAAATTTCATATTGGCAATGGGGATTTAGGATATATTTGTTTTTTAAACTATTTACATTAAATGTTTTTAAAACTATGGTAATTGGAAATATCAAAAGAAGGGGAATTCCAAATATCTGATAGTTTTAAGTAGCTGAAGTCTAACTTACTGAAATGTATGGCCTTGTTGTATACCTTAGAGTTAAATACCTGGTGAAATACCTAGTAAATACAAACTTGCTTTATATATCTTAACAGACACTGAAAAGCAATGAGAATTTGTCAGAAGGCTGAGAAGTAATGGATATGTGAAAACAGACTAATTTTAACTACTAAATTTTATAGTAGCCTATGTTTTGATTTCATTCATACAAAATGTAAAGCGTATGTGACCTCTCTAGACCAATGGAGTTAGTTCCCCTTTTCATCTCTGCAAGTTATTCTCCATGGAGAGAGAAATGCTCATGATTGCTTTTGTGACCATTTTTGCCCTGCAAACTTATGTATCTGCATTTGTGTGTTTCATAAAGTTGTGGTAGTTTTCTGAAAATTATATAAAATGGTTTAAAAATAAACCCCTTTGTAAGGCAGGCCATATCTGTAGGGTCTGAATGTGAAACTTCTGCACTTGAATGATTGTAAACTTTCAAAATCCATTCTAATTGTCCACGTTTTGAAAAGGCATTCTGTTTCTCACTGTATTTAACAAGTAGGAGCAGATGCAATTTTGCTGGTATCCTTGCTGTATAAAGTCTCTCTTCAGTTACTTCATCCTGAAGAGTGTTCTCACAACTTCCTGCCTGTGAGAAATGCATGTTACTTGTCCCTGGCATAGATAATCTGTAGCAGAACTGTTTATCATGGCATGAATTCAAGTAGTAGAAGTTTTTGCTTCGGTGCTTGGTATTGCCTACGTTTTACTGTCACACAACTTCCTTTATGCTACATCAGTCTTTCTTTTCAGGAAGAATGTGTAACAGGTAAGTCTCAACATAAAATTATGTGTTCATAAAATGTTAAGTGTAGTAATAACTATTAAACAAGTTTTGCTTTTATGAGTAGATCTTTTTTGGGACGCATTTATGAGCAGAATCTAGCACAATATTGCTTCTAATCAAGCAATTCTTTGCATCCTCATGAACATCTGGGATAAGAATTTTGAACTCAGCGACATGTATAAAATGAATGGGAGTTGGACATCCAAATTTCTAAGGCAGTAGTGAAAATCTCAGATGCAGTGTTTACTCAGATGGCTTAGCAGTTGTTTTGGAAAATGCCTGGTTGACGAGTATTTTTTTTAATTACTATTACAGACCTTTACAGCCTGGTGCAATTCCCACCTCAGGAAAGCAGGCACGCAGATTGAGAACATTGAGGAGGACTTCAGAAACGGCCTCAAACTGATGCTCCTCTTGGAAGTTATCTCAGGTTGGCTAAAATAAAGCTTGCTATGTATTTACACCATGCTAACTGAAACAATCTTAAAAGATCAAAAATTGTTACACAATTCAGAACAGTGAACACAAACCCTAAGTAGGCTGAAAAGTGAGAGAAGAAACACACTCTGTAAGGGAGGAAAAAAAAGCTCTGCTTTTTCCTTATCTCCAAAATCTTCTGTTTTGTGCTTGTATTCCAGGATATCACAGTGTATCAGGGTATCACTGACATCACAGTGTTGTTGGACAAACCACAAACACTGAGGACCTGGTCTTAGCCCCTAACAATTAAAAAGCCTTTACACTTAGGTTACAAATTAATTTTATTCCACTTTTGTACTAAAAGTTTTGCTTTGCTTTTAATGGCTTTGTTGGATGGACCAATGCTTTCAAAAGTGAGTGCCTAAAGTAAAACTAGATCAGTATTTAGTCACAGGTTAAAGGCCTCATCTTTCAGAAAGGTGGAACATTCAAGAACTCCTTTTAACTAACTGATATAAACTCACTATCACCCATTTTATGTGTTATTCAGAGGGGCAGAGGTACACTCAGAATGCCCCTGAATGGGAATAGCTCAAATTACACACAATAAAGGTGAAAAAGGGCATGAAGATTTTTAAGATGTCTTTATGGAAAAGACAGCTTATGTTTCTGCTGAAGACTTCATTGGGAAAAGAAGATCTTCAAATGATCACTCTTCATGAAATGGAGAGTCATTATTTTCAGAAATCATTCTTTGTGATCATTTGAAAAGATAAGTTCCTTCAAACACATCGGCCTATGCTCTGAAATTAGCTGCTCTGCTGTACTGGATGAGGTTGTTAAAAGCCACAGTTCCTGGTCAGATGTGGAGGGATGCTATGGCTAATCTGCTGGATAAGAGTCCAGCCTCTCTTTACATTCAGGCAGGTAAGGGTGATGAGCTCTGAGAATATCCTGCCTTCTTAATATTCAGCTACTCTAACACAGGCAGTAGCAATGAACCAGAAGTTGAGTAGCAGGAAACATTCACACATCTTCCAGATGTTTAAGGCACACTTAAAAATTTTACTCTGGTTTTACTGCTATATCAGAAAGATCTAAGTCAGATGTTTCGACATTTGAATTTTCTCTTCAGCGCTCTGTTCAAAGCAATTTGATATTCATTCAGAAAAATACCTGTTAAAATAACTGCTAACTTGTAGACAGTGTTCAGGGCATGTTCACTCTTGAGTTCTAATCGCTTGGGTGTCTGTAGCCAGGTGTATGTAACAATAAACACATTAAATTTGTTATTCTACAGGGGAACGACTACCGAAACCAGACAGAGGGAAGATGCGCTTCCATAAAATTGCTAATGTCAACAAAGCTCTGGATTATATCGCCAGCAAAGGAGTGAAACTTGTGTCAATTGGTGCAGAAGGTACGTGACAGAGCTTGACAATGCACCTGACTTAGATCCTAGGCATTCACATTGCAAAAAAGTCTGACAGAGACCAAATTGCGTGGGCTGTTCTCTATATATGGTGCCTCAAAAATCCCTTAATATTGATTGCTGACCTATATCTGTGAAAGGACGAGAGGTGGAAATTTATGGACACGTGGAGAGGGATAGCGGTATAAATGGGCTCCAAGATTAGTTTATCTCCAAGGTTAAATTGAACTGTCTGTGTTTAAGTGGGTGTTCAGATAATGATTTCTTCTTTCAGAGCATTATGTTTTTCCTATACATTATTAAAAATAAGGAACTCCTTTAGAAATCTTTGGATTCTAGGGTGCACTTTATCCAATCTGGGATCTTCTTTTTATCTTTAGGAGATATTATTCAGACAAGACAAAGGCTGACCACTACCAGGTGGCTGGGACCTACTCCCATTTTATAATGAGACTGACTGTGGATGAAGCTGTGTTTCTAAAGTTCAGATGTAGAGTTAAGGGAGTGATCAAAAGAAGTTATGGTAGCTGGGGAGAGACTGAACATATGAAGAAAGTGGGGCTGGATGTTGTTTACTAAAGTTATTACTTTGTTATTGTTCTGTTGTTCAGGTAGTTAAATAAAAACATGCAGTTGGCTAGCTAAATGCTGATAGATGTAAACTCTGAGCAAAAGAAGGCAGGCTCTCACTGCAAGTGAACCTGTGCCTCCTATGAGATTCAATTCATTGTTTAAAAAGGACAAAGGTCTGTCTAGAACTACCTGCTCCATGGAGGTATTTCCATAATGCTTTGCATAGCCATTACCATACAAAGGAGTGATGTGTCTAGCATGATACCCAACTACTTTTGATTCCGTAGCCTCAATGATGTGCTGTCCATTCTGGGCGCAGCCTATAACATGTTCTTAGGGCAAAACTTTGGCTGTAACCTCAGTATCACAGTGAGAAGCACTAGCTATATTCTATTCACATTGCTAGGCCTTTTTAGATTTATTTATGAGCCTTCTTGTTCTGTTTTCTGATTTCTCCAGGCTTACATATGTCCTTATTCTGGCTTTCAAACTTTGATCTCAGGGAGCTTGCTGTAATTATGGCTGGAGCAGGAAGATTCATTAGGTGGGATAGCAGCATCTGTAGAAGTAATGGAGAGATCTATCAGCATTCATTGATTCCACAATGGTTTGACCTAGTCTGCTTGGTTCTTCAAGTATCGTTCACCAAATGTGTTCCATTTCTAGATCTAGAACTCCAAAATCCCAAGAAATGGGTGTTCTCTGGGCAGAGCATATGTTTGAACTCACCCTTTATTCATTTGAGACTGAACTGGGTGGGCCATCTGAGTCCAAATCTATACCATCTATCTTTAGGCACGTAACAGAGACCATTTTGGGGGAATATATTATCAGTGAGGAGAAACAGGCAATTCCCAAAGGCACTTCAGATCTCAGAAGAGCTCTACTGCATTTCAGAGATGCATGGCTCCCTCCATCAGTTGTACAGGCAGTCAGGGGCAGCTGAGCCCTTTGCTCAATTAAATGAAGTGGGATGGAAAAATATACCACTACCCTAAACCTCTGCAGTTAAGGTTATTCTGAGAGTGACATGGCATTGAACAGACAGCAGAGGGTACTGAAGAGACAATTTATGTGTGGAAATGAAAATTAAGAATTCAGAAGCCTGTTTGAGAGCTGGCGCAGAAATACTGAGAGTACAGAGTGTGGAGCAAATCATGGTAGTTTCTGTCATGTCATGCTGGGATTCTGAGGCTTCCTGACTGAAAACAAGAGTGCAGCAAAAGGAGTACCTTGTGGGACAGAGTGGTTGTTCTGTGTGATCACAGTTTGCACAGTGTACTAATTTTTTCACACTTAGGTGCTTCAAGCAAGGCTGGAGTATTTAAACCGAGATACATCAGCTCGTATCTGCCCCTGAAAGGAGCAGCCCAGCCCTCTGCACTTCCATCTCCCTCACTTTACCCTGCTTATTGCTGCTCATTACTGCCAGGGTGCTCAGACTAGGGAGCACCGCTTGAGCACTTTCTATATCACCTGAAGGCAAAGCATCTGGGATAGCTCAGATCAGCCATTAAAAGCATTTAAACTAACCCTGCTGTTCTCCTTGGCAGCAACTGGCATGAGTTTAGATGCTCTGTGATAATGGGTAATTCCCTCTGGGAGGGAGGCAGGAACAAGAGGCAGCAAGCTCATCCAGTTTCTCAGCCAGTTGCTGCAAGGTGATGTCTGTCCATGCACTCAATATTTCTTCCTGCATGTAACAGCAGGCCATAGTTAGTAAGCCAGGAGATTAAGTTCTTGGCTGTGCTGCAGGCTTTTATTGCCTGTTTCTGGAATTCTCAATCTGTAAAATGGAGGGATTGGAAGCAAAAATTTATTCATTAGCATTAAAAAAAAGTTTTAAATGCTTGGATAGAAGCACAGGAGAAAAATGCACTGCTACTGTCATAGCTCAGCTGCAGAGAGGAACCTGTCATTGTAAGACATTGCACTATGTCAAGTACGGCTACTAACACACATTAGATTACATCCATGTGGGCAGGAGCAGATAGATTCGTGTGCCTTCCACTCCTACTCTAAACAGGCTGAACACAAACCCAGCTCTGGCCCAGGCGTGCTTCGTGCTCTGTTAAGTTTACCACATCCCCTCTACTAAATTTGTTATCTAAGGCACAGTGCCGTGCTGATGCAGCAATGCAGTATCACATCTGACTGGGTATAGTTTCACAGCGTGGGACCTCTGGCACCAGTATGTGTTTAAAAGTCCCTGTGCCCCCTTGTCCTGCATACTTGCTCCCACACTTCACAGCCCTACCCTATCACTTGGGCTGACAACTGTTTCTGGAGCTATGCTGGAGACTGGATAAGCAATCTGATCTGGTTTTAAAACAGACTTCACCTCTTTTTTTTGCTTTTGTTGCATTTTTCAGCATTGTTGACTGGGCAGCCATTATAGTATGAAGATGGAATGAATGCCAGCAAGGAGGCAGAGCACAGGCTCCTTAAGCTTCTTGTATTGTTATCAAAGTCCTTAACCCCTTAACTCACTGGCCCTATGTGTGAGCATGGGGCACATGGGCTTGTCTGCACCCATCTGTTTGGGCATTCTCTGAGTTACATGGATGCTTTGAATACTTTTTAATTTCCACAGCATGGAAGTTTTGTATCTAAATCTGCTGAGGATCATGTTTTATTATCCGACATGCTGACTGGTGAAGAGCATGTAGGCCCAAGGGGACCAACTGGCATTTAAAATGGGGCCTCAAAACAAAGATTAAACTGCAGTTCCTGGGGGACATCAGTACAAAGTTCAAATGAATATTTTTAAGGGGCCAGGGATGTTCTTTAAGGTCATCATTACTGTTCTGAGGCTGACTTCCTTGGGCTGTCTCTGGAGTGGAAAGAGAGAGGTGATCACCTTTAACTGTGACGCTGAGCAGAAGCCCAATTTAGCTACTCTGATCTGTCTTGTGGAAGAGTCTTTCTCTCCATTGGTGATGAAATGAGACTAGAGAGTCAAGAAGCTGAAGCAAAACCTGTGAAAGTAGTCCTGATGAGCTATTCACAGTCCAGGAGTTAGAAGTTTTCTCCTAAGTTTTAAAAAAGTCCAGTAACTCCATTTGCAAGGTAATTGTGTCCTGAATAAAATGAACTGGTATATGGAAAACCACAAAAGATAAGTATCCTGTTAATAGGAAACACTTCTGTATTGCTTTTCTGGGGGCCAGGAGAAATGTTAAAGACCAAATGATCTGTGAATCTGCTACAAGAAGGTTAGAATAAAAAAAAAAAAGCCAAAGCAGAATAAAAAAACGAAACTAAAACATTTGAGAACTTACTACACTGCTTTTTCCTTCTCTCCTTTCCTGTCCTCATAGGTCAGCAAGACCTTTTTCCCCAGAAAGCTGTAGCTTTGCATATGTGAGGTGTAGGAACTATATTCCTCCCAGTGCAAACAGGCAGTGTGAAGAAAATAATGAAGTCTTCTATTGAACAGTAGAGGAAAATGATAGGAATGAACCAGTATTTTTCTATCACTGATGCTTTTCAACATTCAGCAACTTTGTTTTCCTTCTGCTTAGATACTTTTCCTTGTCTTTCATACATACCTTTTTTTGTGTTTTATGCTAGTAGCAGATAATGAGAAACCAAAGCTGGCAAATCGCTTGAAAATTCTCCTGAGGCACAACATAGAAAATTCAGTCTCTTGCTCTTTCATTCTGTCTGTGTATACATACAGATATGTAAATCAAAATAACGATGTAGTGATTATGCAAATGCATGAATTGATTGCCTGATAATCACCAATGCCTCCTGAGTGTTTAAATTCATTTATTTTACATTTGAAGGAATTCTTCTTTGCTGTATATACATATCGGATCAAAATACAATGAAATACTTGACCGAGGAGGAGGGAGGAGAGAGAAGTAGCTACATGCCCTAATTGCCATTTGGTCTTTTTTGGCTGAAAGAGTTTAGTTTTGAGATTGAATAGACTTGAGGTCTTTCAGGGCCAATAAGATAGTAATAATGCCTGGAAGGCAGGCAAAGTGAGGTAAGAATTCTGGAAAATTAGTGTAGAACCCAAAGGAAAAATAGCTATTCATATATAAGCTTGGATTATCACACTAGCAAAGTAAGTATAGACTAGTGATGGGTGACATATCTCCTACCACATTTGTTGATTCCATAAGTTCAAATGACAGCTTGTGTCACATACTAGTGCAATTTAACATGTATCTCAAGTCTCGAAGCTAGCAGCTGCTTTGTTCTGTAAAAGTTTCCCCTGGATTCAGGCAACTTCTAAGTATCAGAGTGACTGCATTTTGTGCTGGCACCTCTACTGGCATTTGATGTTAAATTGAGGAAATTCCTCCTTGCTGCAAGTTCCTCCTGCTCCTTCCCCAGAACACCAGTGGGCCCCTAGGCAGCCACAGCTGCTCCACTTTTTGAGGAAGCCTGGAGGTGACTTTCAAGCAGGGGAGCAGCTGGTGCCTTCCCTGCTCCACTGCTCTTTTGGTGTGAGGTGACTGGAAAGGCAGTCTGCAGTTCCCTTCTCTCGTTGTCCCACCTCTTACACTTCCAGTGCTGGACCCTCCTTATAGCCGCACTATGTTCTTCTGAGTCTCTCACCATACTTTTCAGATTGATTTAACATTATCACCACACTCAAGTGATCTGGCAGTACATTTTTTGGTGGTGAGAAGTTTAAGTGGTATCACTGTTCATATTACAACGTAGGAGCACTGGATTCTGACTTGGCTTGTGGAAGGGGCTCCCACGTGTGTGTGAGAAGGGCTGGAGAAAGCATCTTCCTCGTGTCCTGTGTTGTAGGTAGACTTAAGCAGTCTTGAAACAAATTGAAACCCCAGAGGTAAAAAATCCCATTTTATATTAAAGATAAATAAATGTGCATAGGCATCAGAGCTGTAAGACATTACAACCTCATGGCCATGTTTCTGAATTGCTTGGCAGGAAGCTATGTAGCTTAGTCTCAGGAGTTGCTGTGTCTTTTGAGCTGTTCTTCATACCTAGTCTGTGCTGGCACTATAGGTAAAATTCTCAAAACAGTCTAAACAGTATAGGGGGATTTCTGAGTACCACTGTATTAAAAATAATACTGTTAATGTCCTGTAGTTTCTTAAAATTTGGGGTAAGACCATATTTTTTTCAGTTCCTTTGTATTTGAAAACAGTCAGGCTGATACTGTTCAAACTTTGAATAAGTATTTCCCCTCAGCCTCAAAGGTAAAGATTTGAGACAGTTACAGCTACCTGGAGAGAAGCCTTTTAGCATGGAAGAGCTGAAGTGACCTTAACCTCAGTAATCTTCAGTCCTACTGCCAGGGTAGCACAAGCATGAGTTTGTTGAAAAATGAACCCAGATGAACTCTGTGTAGATAAAGAGTTATGGTAGAAATATAACGAATTTATTAAATACAATACAGTATTTATAGAAATATATGATTAAAATAAGAGAAAATGGAAAACACATTCTAAATACTTCTACTATCGCTTTTTTCACCGTAGAAATTGTTGATGGCAATGTGAAAATGACGCTGGGTATGATCTGGACTATCATCCTTCGCTTTGCTATTCAGGATATTTCAGTGGAAGGTAATAGTAATGCAACTATGTTAAATAATTAGGAAATTTGTTTAAAGACATTTTTATATGAATTGTGCGCAAGTGAGATGAGTGTTTTAAAATATTAATTATTTTTTCACAGAAAATGATACTGCAAGTTCCCTACCTGGTGACAAAATTGATTTCTGGAGGGAAAACGTAATTACTCTCCTTATCCTGAGAGAGACCTCAAGCCAGCTTTCTAAATGCAGAAGATCTGGGCATGTCTTTCAGTTATAGAGATAGAAACATGCCTTTGTTTCTGAGCTTCAGTGGCCTGAAACTATGCTGTACCCTGTATGGTGGTCTTATTTCCAACATACTTTTTCAGTCCTGTCCATTTCTCACATTCTTTGCAAATATTATCTGATTATATCCCTCTTATTTCTATCACTTTTTTTTCCCCCACTGCTTCAGAATTTTTTTTCTTAACTTTCACTTGGTAACTAGCTCCAGAAAGCATCTTGTTGTTACAATACTCTTTAAATCAAAGGTATGCTGTGAAAAGTGTAGAATGCTAGAAACTAATCTCAATTTTCAACAAAAGTAGAGCCAATTCAAGCGCTGCATGCTGTCCTGCCTATAATTTGTGGGACATTAAATGTGGACCTAATGGTCTATTTGATCTTTTCCATCCTTTACTTACGCATTCAGATGCCCATAGGGTTCAGATAATGAACGCATTTCTTCAGCACTTATACCTCCCCATAAGCTCCTCATGGACTGAAACTACAAGCATATTTCATGTGGGCACCAACACAATCTTTTATGTCTAGTTCTATTATATTTGTATTGGGTATTTTTCTCCAAATATACATTCTGCTGTCCAACGAGTATAATTTCTTAAACTTCTAATATCTCAGAATTATTGTCCAGCCTGAGACTCTAGTCTGAGTTGTTCCAGTTGAGCTGATCTCTGTGTCCTAAGGGAGCCCCATTAGTCCATTTGTATGAGTATCCTTCAGGATTAAATGTTGGCTTATGCCAACCAGTTTCAGGTGGCTGACCACATTTAAGATGACAAAAAAATTAATCACTTGAGCACTTTTTACATTTTTCTTTTTTTTTTACTCCCTGGTGTCTTTTACAGAGACCTCTGCCAAAGAAGGGCTGCTGCTGTGGTGTCAAAGAAAAACTGCTCCTTACAGAAATGTGAACATTCAGAACTTCCATCTTAGGTAAACTTCCATTATTTCAAGGGGTAGAAGCAGTCTAAAATATTTTAGGTCAAATTTTTCCAACAGTTGTGTAGGTATATTTCTGACAGGAGAATTTAACTCTTCACTGTTAGCTAGACTTTTTTCAAATTCTCATGCTCTATCTTCAGAGTTTTATTTTGGTTAGCCTTTGGCATTATATACCATGGCTTCCATAGTTACTATTTAAAAGAAAAAAATCCCTACTGCATACAGAATGACCATATTGCATTATTAGAGGTCCTTGGTATATGGGAATATTTGAGTACCTCAGCATAGTGACTTGGCAAATGACTGCTTTCAAAAGAGAGCCACTGTAGGTATAGACTGTTCTTGGCAAAAATACCAATGCGTTGAGCATGCAAATATCTCATTATGATGAATCAGTCCTTATTATTTTGTAACGTAACTATAAATGAGGAGCCAAAAATGCACTCGGTACGCAACAGCAGCACTTTAAACATGTTTGTTTTCAGAATCAGGATCATTACCCAAGTTGGAAATTTTAGTGAAGCTCCAGCCTCGTGGTTCTGTGTTTTCATAAAGGGCTGGAAAGGGAGTTCTAGGCCATATGCAGGCTGCCTGGTTTTGGGATTTCACTGGGCTAGTTCCTGTAGCTCTGCTGATGACCCACCTCATTAAACTACATGACTTGCCATTTGCACTGTTTAATCATGTGATCTTGCCTTCCCTGAAACCTTTTATAGTAGTTACAGCAAGAGCTCTGTATTACGGTGTTTTGAATTAATTTTTTATGTGCAGCACCTAAAGCACATGTAGTGATAGAGAAGATATAGTTCACACATGCATCCACAGATAAAAAGAATTTGTTTGATTTACAGTCCTTGTATTGCCTTTAAGAGATCTGAAATTTGTTACGTGTTATTTTCCTTAAATATGTAGAGGTATATTTCACTAGAGCTTTATATGGATGCAGGGTATACTGTAAGTTACATTATCAGAATCGTAGTGTGTATACATACATATGCTGGTCTGATACATGGCATGGGGAAAACACCTTGATTAATATTTGGGTTGACTGGCTCTTACAGAACTACTTTACATTGGGCTGTCCAGACCATTTTTAGTCTATACCTTTTGGAAAAAAACTTTGTGTTAGTTCGGTGCTCATTGTGATTCAGTTTCACCTTCTGGATGATTTTATATTATATAATGTATGTATATTCTGCTTATTTGTGTTACATTTTTATGGGAGATGGTTCTGTTATTTGAAGGATCTACCCAGACAGCTCAGTGACAGGGATTCTAACAGTATTAACATGTTTATGTATCACACAATTACTGCACAGGATAAGACCTCAAACCCACAGTCCCAGTGATTGCATAAAGTGTTTACATAATGTATCTTTCAGAATAATTACTTCTGGCTGAAAGGAACCTCTCATAATCTTTCCAAATAGATGTTATTTGTAGCTCAATTCATTGCCTATTATTGCCTCGAAAGGTAGTGGGCCTGATGTCACATTGAAGTGTCAGAGCTTAGACTGAAGCTGTCATATGTGTGAAGTGTTTTAAATAAACTAAGCTGATTTACGACTTCATAATTCTATGAGCACAACATGGTTGTGTCATTAAAATTGTCTGAAATAACTGACACAGAAAAAGCCAATTGCTTCAGCAAATTCAAGTAATTGCAGGTTTGCTCTCCTTTTATTTTTTCGCAAACATGCTGTAAGAGGAGATTATGCACTTTCATTGATGAATGTGTACTCTGAGCTATCCTGGAACACTGCACAAATTAAGCAATTGAAATCAGGGACTGTTGCACATAATGTATGCTGCCTAATAAGTATTATGGAGTCCTTAAGTGTGTATGGACTGTAGAGTAAGATATGTACTAAAGGAAAAAGAGTACAGTAACAGAAAAGCTCAGAGGGATGAGAGTTGACAGAACATAAGCATCAGGATTTGACAGGAGAGGTCCTGCTTGGTTTTAAGCCTTGAGCAAGGATCAAACTGTAAAATGCCATGACTTTATTAACTATTTTTTTTTCCATTCTATTTTTTTGTTGTAAAGCTGGAAAGATGGCCTTGGATTATGTGCACTTATCCACAGACACCGACCTGATCTTATTGACTACTCCAAGCTAAATAAGGTCATCAGTCTGGGTGGTACAGCATGCTGTCCTGCAGTGATTTGGCTCACTTATGGTTTGCTTAGCATGTTTTCTAAAACATAAGCTGAGGAGTGCATACTAATTCTGACTGGCTTTCTAAGCTCCCTCCAAAAAAACCCCAGTGACATGGAGGAAAGGACCCCATGACTGTTCTGTGTCCTTCTTTCCTTCCCATTACAATGATTTAAGCATTTAATTGCAAATAATCTGGTCCTCAGCTGCTAGGCAGTTGAAGAAGTCTTTTACACTGCCCAATATGGGCATTAAAATCAAATACATTGGAATTCTCCATTCACTCCTGATAGTATTGTACAGTCCATCCTGTTTTGTATCTGTTGTAAATGACTGTAGATTGCAGAGCAGTAAACAATGACATATGATTAATCCTAAGATTCCTTAGAACAAACATTACCCTTGGTAATCAGGAGTACACAATAAGTTACTACTCTTACATAGAAAATAATCACCAATTCTTAGATTATACTTCTACCTATACTTCCAGACAAGTGGAAACAAAACTGATATCCTAACTTCTTTAGCTGGTACCTCATGGGGATTATAAAACTATTTTATTACAGTGTGCTACTTATGGCAAAATGCATATTTTCTAAAAGACACCAGCCACTTTGGTTTGAGAGGGAGGAATGAGGAGCAAGTAATAATGTCAGAATTTCTGGGTACCATTACTGAAGAGTAAAACCTAGAAAGAAAGTGGAATGTTGTTGTTTCACATTAGCTCTCAGTACATATGTATCATTTTCTGCTCTTTGGAATGAGTGCATCTTGAGGTCTCATGTAAACACCAGTAAACCAGAAAACTTAATCATGGTTTTAATTTGTTGAATGCAACTTTTCGTTGACTGGTAAATCATAGATTATATTTCCCATTCCATGCCCTTCCATTACAAATTGATTTTACTAGTGGAATCAACTGTTATCAGAAAGCCTTTGAGGAGGGAAAAGGTGAATGAATGAAATTAAGTTATTTGAAAACTTAGCCTGCTTTATATATGGGCTAAATTCATGCTGGGGTCCCTAAGGTGTGCAGTAATGAAAATTAAATGAACTTATTCCTAAACACATAAGATTTTAATTTAGGCATTTGTTAAGACAACTGCAGATCTGAACCAGAGGGCAAAATATTAGCCATCAACACCATCTTGTTCTCTAATTCTATATACAACCTTTCCTCCAGATAAACAGATTCATGGAATGACTAAGCTACCTGTCTCTGTGTACATGTGCTTAAGCATGGCACAAACAGAAGTTAGTTTGATTGAGTTTGTGCTTTGAAAAGTGGTACACAGTACTAAAAAACTTCACAGTATAACCATCCTATATATGAGTGCTGAGAAAGGGAGTAGAACGTAAGTAGATCTGCTTCAGCATTACTATTTCCCTCTTAGAGGTTTCCAAAATAGGAACAGGTCAGGTTTCAATCTGAGGCTGAGCTGTGGCACGTAAAGCACATGCAGAAAAATCCTAAAATAGATCTTGCTTTTCTAGCCTGGCTGTGTTTGATTGACTGCTCATTTTGGTTACATTAACAGCTGTCTTGGTGTCTTGTTTCTTGGTTTCTTATCTCCTGCATGCTGGCCTTTCCTTTTCTCACCAATGTGTTTTGTGTGAACTTGTAGCTGGAAAGATGGCCTTGCTTTCAACGCCCTTATCCATAGACACAGGCCTGATCTTCTTGACTATGACAAGTTAGATGAGGTATTTCTTTAGCTGTAGCAGAGATTTTTAGTTACTGTGGCTTGTAGTTTTGTTTAAAAGGATGGGTGATGAAGATCTCCTCCAATTTTTCAGAAGGTGCTGTCATTTTTAGGCAAATCCTGTAGTGGTGGAGCACTATTTACTCATAGACTTAGTACCAAGCACACAAATAGGAGTGCTCATCACTCATCCATAAGCAAAGTGTTTTAACCTAGTCAATAGGTCTTACTTAGATTTAGTGTATTCTTGTCCCATTTAATTTCAGTAAGAGTTTTTGTATACACGTTTAGTAAATGTTGTATTAACACATGGTGTCTTGTGTAAAAGCAAAAAGTAAGTTCATGGGTTTTAAATATTGTCCACATTTTAAGTTCCTCTTAATGTCAATGATGCACAAAACTGCTAAATGATGACAGAGTGAGAACTTAATGATTAGAGATTTTGTATTCTGTTATACCCAAATTGTTAGGTTTCAAAATGTAAACTCTTCTTCATAATACATTCTATTGAACATGCAGCTTTTAAAGGAAAGGCTATCTAGTATGATATGTTTATAGAAAGACGTGTCATGGGCATTACTACTTACGATACCTGGCACATGTATCTGCATGAGGAACAGACTTCTGTGAAACTTAAATAATTGCTGTGTTTGCATAGTAAGTAATCTTACTAAGTTCATTTGAAAGTAACAAAAGAAGGATGCTTGAGACTAGATGCCTTTGTAGGAAGTGGTTGTGTTCAAATGGAAGCCCTGGAAATTTCCTACAGAAAACCTGTTAACATTTTTTCAGTGCCCTCCAGCATCTCTAACTTTGCTCTTCTGTGTCCTATTTTCCCAACCTCTCTCTGTAGACATTGGCATTGTTCAGAGTGGCTATGGTCATTTAGCAGTTTGTGAATCTGTGAAAATAATAATAGCATTAATGGCATGAACTGCCATTTCACGTAGGGTGTTTTCACTCCAAGCTGATACAGGAAGGCTGCCTTAAGAGGACCCCTACTCTGACACACTGTTCCATTGTCAGCAATAGCTGTCTGTAGCGTAAGACATGGAATGTGTGCTGTTTATCTGAACTATGCTTACTGCTTCCTTTCTCTTTCCTTCAAAAAACAAAATCAAAATCTCAAAATCAGAGGAAGTTCTTGACTTTCCAGAGCTCTAAAATTCAATTTTTAGAGGTGTTACAGATTTCTCTGTCCAAGCCAAAACTGGGAAGTTTTGCTCCTTCTGGAGAACTGTTCTTCTGTCGGTGCTTGCTTCTTCTCATGCATGCACCTGACCAACTCAGCAGAATTCTTATCACTGTAATGTAAGGTATAGTAGGTATAAAACATGCAGGACTAACTTTGTGATGAACAGTCTAGCATAGCCTACTGGACCAGTGGCCTTGACTGTATGTATTACTGCTGTACTTCATTCAGAATTAGCTCAGAATAATGAGTGTACACTGCGTACATTACCTATGTTCCCCTCCAGAATATATTTGCAGCAGAGTCCTAGTGGTACATAATAGCTTATTAATGTTTCCTTTTGAACATATAGCAGTAGATAGATGAACAGTTCATACACCTATACTCTGGTTTTTGAAGAACAATAGTTGTGACTTCAGTTTACAGTTTGGAAAAACAGAATGAGTTTGAGTATACCTCTTATAGTCTTGCTTCAAGGAAAAACTTCTATCTTTGACTGGTTGTATTTTCTTCTTTAATGCAGGATGACCCCATAGGAAATATCAACCTTGCCATGGAAATTGCTGAAAAGCATTTGGATATCCCTAAGATGTTGGATGCAGAAGGTGAGAGTAATAGCTTGCTGAAGTTTGTGTTACTCACAAGCAGGAGACAGTAAAACTTTTTTTTACCTAGCAAATTTTCAACATTCCTTCCACATGAATCATAATTCAGCAACCTACTTTGTTTTCAAACAGTGTTTCCTTCTTATTCCCCATGTATTGGATAATTTCACTCACTTTTTGCTTTATTCCTTATTGTTTGTTATTTTTTGTATTTATTATAGTACTTTGGACCCTAACCTCAGCACATGGCCCCACTGTGATAATTGAAGTAAAATGCAGGATCAAAAGATAATCCTCACCTTTAAGAAATTAAATTCTAAGTCTAACAAAGGGAAATACAACTGTTAGCTTCTTAAAGCATATTCACTTTTTTAAATCTTTAAGTGAGAGGGCCAGAAATAGAAATAGAAGTATGGAACTTTCAAAATATACTAACAACATGCCTCCTGTGAAAGAGAGCTAGGTTGAGGGAAGCAGTTTATTTTAATTGTAAACCTTTTGCAGTGATAGTTTTAACAAATAGTTTCATGTTTGGTTTCTCCAATAATCTTTAGAGTTTGTTGACAAATAGCAAGGAAATATTTATTAAAGCTTCCTGAATTTCTTCAAGGTAACCAAACTTTTGTACTTCAGGCAAAAAATGGTGCCAAAATACTGGAATTTGTCTACACTAGTTCAAAACATTCTTCTCCAAGTATGCAGATTTTGCTCTGGTGGCTTGTCAGTAGAGCAGTGATAACATGGCAATCATCCAGAGCACTCAAACTCACTGTGTCTGCTCCCCTTGAAGTCTTTGGTAGGAAAGTTAGGCCAGTACAGGATGATTTGGAAAATCCAGGTTATAACCTCTTCATTGAAGAAGTTTCTTGGTTTCACCTTCATGCTTCAAAACAAATTGTTTTCTTTTTTTGAATTGCAATTCCCCTTTCAAGCACCACTTAACCATTTTACTCTGAAATCCTGTGCAAGGAATAAACAGAAGTGCTACCTCCTTACCATCGAACAGCTCCTACTATCATTCTCCTTTCCTCATTTTCTCCTCTTCACATACAATGTAAGAAACCTTTTTTCTTTTTTTTCCCCTCACTGGATTTTCTGCCCATTCTAGCCCTTATCTTACTATTCTTCTTCTTGGCAGGGGTGGAGGAAATGAAATCATGTGTCTTCTAACACCCTCTGAGTATTCACCATCACTTTTTACTCTCTTTACTTTGCAAAGTGTTGTTCACAACTGTGGGAAGTAGATGCAAAATCAGTAAATACATTGGTCCTGAACTTGGAAATCTCACTGTTGATATTAGAAATTGTCACCTCATTCCTGGGTATTTTCACACCAGTATCCTCCCACTCCTTACACTGGAATCCTTGCAGCTTGCCCTAGCATTGTTCATCACTCAGATGTAACTGGTGTAAAACCACCCTTTTCTGCTTTTCTCTGTTAAGTATTGAAAAGGTACATTTTTACCATACCTTGATTGCACCCTTTCTATACTTTTACTCTTCCCTGCCATAATAGGGACAAAGCTGTCAGCCAGCCAAGCCAAACTCTTCTGTGATTTATGCTGTTAACTAAAAAGACAGACTGGCGCAGGGATTTCAAAACTGTTACCATCCAAACTTTTCTTAGTGCAAAATGTACTTCTGGACTGCAGGAGTTCTACAGGTTTCCAATATATGTCAATACCCTGTCAGTCATGGGGACCCTGTGCTAATATACACTGTACGCCCTCCTATTTTGTGACTGTCAGTGGCCGTGTTTAACTCTGGAATAATTTTAGTGATTTAGATGAAGTTGCTTTGGAGCGACAGTGAAGCGAACCCAGTAGATCTGCCAGCCATGCCATCTGCTTGGAAGTTTCCACAAGCCAGAAGGTAGCAGTGCCCTTCTGTACAGTCTCAGCCTTCAGTTGTGTTGCAGAGTTACAGGGAGAGTTACATCTTTTCCATTTACTGATTCCTAAAGCTTAGGTAGCTTTGCACTGATACCAGTAAACAGATGCAACCTGAATAATGGTGTATTTATTTTGAATCCTTACAGCACTGAGGTGGCATCATCAGCATAATCTGATGGAAGTACCTTGTGAGAATTTCTGAGCAGTTAACCCTCTTCTCTCTACACAGATGTAGTAAACACTACCAGACCTGACGAAAGAGCCATTATGACTTATGTTTCCTGTTACTACCATGCATTTGCTGGTGCTCAGAAGGTGAGATTGTAGAAGATGGGTCAGATCTCATCCTTCACCTTCTGTCTTGTTTCTCTCAGCAGTTTTTCCTCTTCTGATCTTTTCCTCACTAGTTACTAGGGCAGTGTCTTAGAGCTGAGCTCATTTCCTGTTGCCTGATTCTTCTCTGTGAGCCGCTATCTCGGTAGAGCCAGTAGTAGTCTATCCATTTGTTCCATAGAAACAAACCTTTCTGTCTCATCTTTCTGTATATTTACTAATAATATCCAGTCGGTTTTTGACAGCTGGTTACTGAATGGGCTAGAGGACATTATTCTCTGTAATTGACCTTGTGTGCATTCGTTTGAAGCACCTTTAAAAATGCAAGAGGAAAATAAACTCATAGCGAAAAAACACTTTCAATAGCAGAATGCCATCTTTTTTCTCCCTGCTGGATATTATTCCTGCTACAGATGTTAAAATCATCATAACAGATGCTCAGAAAATAAACCCTTCTCTTATGCTTTCAGGATTGTTTTTAAAATGTTAAATGCTTAATGGTAAGTACAAACAGCAACATAAAAAGTTGCCACTATGCAAAATAGACACAGAAATATACACAGATATCTCAGAAGAGCTCTGGAATCGTGTCCTAATGAAAAAAGGAAAATTTTAAAAAGCAAGGCAGATCAGAGCTGGACATACTTCAGGTATTACTAATATAAAGAATACCGATATATAATGCTAGGGTTATAACTAATCCACGTGCAACTTCCAGAGGACATCTCCCCAGATCAAAATGTAGTCTGTCTTTCCCATGTCCTAGTCAAAAAACTCCCACATTCTAAGTTACCAGACATATGCGTGCCAGTTGTTAAACAGATAGTCCTGGTAAAATTAAGGTCACTCCCCCTGCAACAATACTGCAGGATCAAGCTTATTAAAAAAATTCCACCCCTTTGTAAGAGCTTATGTTGAATTTCTGGTATATGTTTTATTCTGTCAGCAGCTATCAATCTAACACTAAATTTATTACAGCTTTGTAGAGTTTCTAGAGCACAGAGCTATGGACAAAATAACAATCAGAATGACACTATGTTGTGCTTTCATTTATTCATCGTGTTTTCTCCTCCTCGATTCTTTTTTGTTTGTTTGTTTGTTTTGTTTCCATTTCTCCCCCCCGTCTTGTAGATATTGTGAACACTCCCAAACCTGATGAGAGAGCTATCATGACATATGTGTCCTGCTTCTACCATGCTTTTGCTGGAGCAGAGCAGGTATTAATCAACTGTCCCTTCAGGTTGCTGTGGTTTTGATTGGTTGTTTCACATTTCCACTAGTTTATTAAAAAAAACTAATTTAGTACTTTGTGGTTTTAATTAACAATTGCAAGTATTACTTGAGCACTCATACTTGTTTTTCACCAACACTTGAACCTGTTTTAGTTAAATGTTGTGTATCAAGTTGAACTTTAATTCCAATGGACATTCCTGTTTCTAATTTTTGGTCTTTCTTTGGTGATTATAAAGACTATTTCAGAAAAACTGTGCTTGAAGATACTGTGAAATGGAGTTGTCGTTGGTTGCTACATCAACATCTTATGCGTTTGCTGCATAAAAGAATGTTTGACTTTTTGAGATTGAGAGTATTCTAGATTTACTCATGCTGACTAGTAATTTAGGGCTAGATTTTCAAAGATGCCTAAAGATGCAGAAGGGCGCAGAAGGCATCCAGCGTCGTATTTGTGCCTGGTTCCCACTGAAGCCAATGGAATTATTTGTGGATCAAAGTACTAGTATAAGAGGCAAGAACATCAGCAGCAGATCTGTCATACAGGATGGGATTCTCAGTTACAAATGTGGCATTTCCCACTGTTCTGCTTCATACATTTTTAGCCTACAAAGGGACATAACCCAATTTAGGGGGCGGGGGGGAACAAACCTTTAAAGTAGTTGATATTTTTCCTTCATCCTCAGGATTTAATTTCCCTTCCTGTCTGGTAGATTCCCTACGCCTTATCAGAGCACAGCTATGCTGTTGCACCCTCTTGCTTCTGGGTATGAAGGGTTTGCTATTCATGCAAAAGGGGAATTCCACATACTCTGTAACACAGGAGTCTATGTAGATGTTTTTTTGATTAGATATACTCGAGACTCACATTTGTATGAAAGTATAGATCTGTTATGTCAAACTATTAATGTAAGTTTTAAATATGCCAGAGCTACACAGTGCCTTCACAAATAAATTTGGCAAGAGGCGTGAAAAGATTTGCTGTCAGTGGTTGAGCTGCATATATTCTCAAGGGTATATGTACATATGATGTGCAGATATAGAGTAGTCTGGGACTCCTGAATCACATGGGGTGTCTTTCCAGTGTGGCTAACAAATCTAATTCTTTTTTGGTGTGATTTAAAAAAATTAACCTAATAGGATAACTTTAAGAATGGCCTAAGTCATCTTTGAAAATAGAAGATTATTAGACAACAATTTATTAGACAACTGTAATGGCAGTGTGAAATTCCCCCGTGTATAATACGGCTGCATTGTACAACAAGGTGACTTCTGTGCTGATCTGTGCCTTATTCAGACCATTGGAATCTGTGACTACAGGAGGGTAAATATGTATGTAAGTAACGTAGGAGCACAAGTCAACAACTATAAACCAATGTGATTCTATGATTCTACGATTTTTATTTGCAGCAGCCACATTCTGTCTCTTTCTCCAAGCCTGTACCTTTCTCAGAATGTGTTTATGAATATGTCCTGTTTATTTGCTGTGTTTTACAGGCTGAGACTGCAGCTAACCGGATCTGTAAGGTGCTTGCTGTGAATCAGGAAAATGAGAGGCTGATGGAAGAGTATGAGAGACTAGCAAGTGAGGTAAAGACAGCTGTACTTGTAACATGGTGATAGTTACATTTATGAAATACTGAAAGATGAAAGATTCATGCACTATCAGCAAGATAGCAAAGCGAAGGCACTATGAGGGTAAATCTCACAGTGGTAGGGTACAAAGCTCAGTTGCCCAAGATGTCAAGGTTCAGCTGACTCCTTTGCAAGTCACTCAGTCTCATTAATGTGCCGAACAGGGTGTTTTGAGGACTGCCATCAGTCTGCCCCAAGACCAGGCTTGCTGTCCCTGTAATCTCCAAAGATAGCCATCCTTGACCACACATGGAACATACAGGATCCTGTCACTCCAAGCAAGCCCGTTGGCTTTGTGTACTGCAAAGGAGACCTGGACAGGGTCTCTCAAGGTGTTCACAGTGCACCTGTGAACACAGGCAGCAAATGAATGAAGGGGGCACATTGTACTCCTCCTGTCCTTTCTTGGTAAATGGCAAATTTGCTGAGTCAGGACTACAGATGTGTAGTGTACCAGTGAGAGCTCCCTTGTCTTTAATGCACACCCTGCAAAAACATACTGAGATCACAGACACAAAGACAGTAGTACTGCATTGGCACTAATGGACTTCTGAGTGAAGATTTTTATATGACCTGAGCTACTTGGCTGGTGTCTGTCCTGATCTCGTAACTATGACTACCTGAGACATTGAGACCAATACTTTTGAAAGCGGCAAGTGATTTTGGGTAACGCAGGTTTTGAGTAATTAGCTAGAGGCATCTTATATGTGTGTTCATCTTTCTGAAAATCAGGGTATTTCTAGAAATACCTACAATATCTGGGCAAATTAGTAAAAAAGTATTGTTCAGCTTTGAAAATCTTGTGCTTACTTGCCATTAAGGCACTGATACCAACTGAAGTCAATAATATTATAAATGGAGCAAACTTGATTAGGATTTGTGCATTCAATATGATCTTTTTTGTTGTTGCTTTTCCATTGCCTTTATTTCAATTGTTTGTGTTCATTTGAAAGCTTTTAGAATGGATTCGCCGGACAATTCCTTGGCTGGAAAACAGGACCCCAGAAAAAACAATGCAGGCTATGCAGAAGAAATTAGAGGATTTCCGGGACTACCGCCGCAAACACAAACCCCCCAAAGTCCAAGAGAAATGTCAGCTGGAGATCAATTTCAACACCCTGCAGACAAAACTGAGAATCAGCAACCGGCCAGCTTTCATGCCATCAGAGGGAAAAATGGTTTCAGTAAGTAAAGGAGGCATCAATATTCCATTCTCCTTTTTATCAAAGTTGTCACAAAAATTTCAATGTGAAGGATTGAAATGCCATTTTAAATCATCCTCAGAAACTTCAGTTTGTTGCACTTCATCAATATCAAACCACTCTTTTTACAAGTTCCCTTTCATTCTAGAATCTTGCTTTCTCTTAAGCATGTTCCTGCCTGTTTGAAGGCTTTCCCCAAGAGCAAATTGTCTTGAGACGTGAGATGATACAGAGGTTCCTTTGGGAGTGTTATCAACACTTCTATATCAGTGAGGCCAAATATTGTTTATTTTATATATATATAGTAT